GATGTTGCCACAAGAGGATGGCTACATTTAGTGGGAGACCTTTAAGGCAATCTTCCTAGGGAATTACTTTCCCCAGGATCTGAAGAAGCAAAAGACCAGAGAGTTCCTTGAGCTGAAGCAAGGAAGTATGAAAGTGGGGGAGTATGTAGCAAAATTCCAGGACCTGATGAAGTACTGGCCTTACTATTAACATAAGGATGGAGAGGAAGACTTGTATGCTCAATTTGAGCATGGGTTGAGGCCAGATATTCGAACTGCAGTCAGCGTGTTCTAGCTGAAAGATTTGCCCACTCTGGTAAGCAAGAGCAGAATCTTTGAAGCCAATTCAAAGGGCAAGATAGTGGATACTAGGGGGACTGGTTCAGTGAGGCAAGATAGAAGACCCCCTAGATTCTCCAGGGGGCCATCTTCGGGTTTGAGTAATTGACAGTCTAGAGGGACTTCATCACAAGAGAAGAGCAGTGGGAGTGGCTCAGGATCAGGCTCTTTTAAAGGGCCGATCAAATGCTTCAAGTATGGAGGGTCACATATAGTGAGGGATTGCCCATAGCTACAGACAACATGTAGTAACTGTGGGAAGTCGGGGCACACTGCCAATGTGTGCTGGTTTGCCAAGGGAAGTGGTAGTACGAGTGCAGCTCAGAGACTTGAGTCAAGAGGAAGCACAGGGCTGAAGCCGAGTATTTCCGAGAGGGTCTTTGCCATGAGTGGAGCTGACGCTTCAAAATCTAAGGAGCTGATCTGAGGTAAATGTGTAATTAAAGGTAGATTGGTTGATGTGTTGTTTGAATTAGGTGCTACGCACTCTTTTCTTTCTATGGACTGTGTGAAAAGTTTGGGTCTGTATGTGATGGAACTGCCATGCAACGTTGTGGTGACTACCCTTACGAGTAAGTCGATTGTGACATCATGGGTGTGTATAGGATGCTCTATAATGTTTGCCTCTTTCCCAATGTGATTTTGGAGATGACTTGGCTAGCTGCCAACCATGTACTGCTGGACTGTAGAGAGAAGACTTTGATCTTCGATGCGACAATGACAGAGGTTCCAAAGCTTATGAGCCAACGTGCGTAGGAGAACATGGTAAACGCCAAGGCCTTTATGGTGATGTTTTCAATGGAAGCCGAAAGCGTGATGGAGCCGGAGTACATCACGGTGGCAAGGGATTTCTTAGAAGTTTTCCCTGAAGATGTTTTTGAGTTACCGCCTGAGAAGGAAATAGAGTTTGCTATTGACCTCATTCTGGGGGCAAGCTCGATTTCTGTGGCACCTTATAGGATGTCACCAGTGGAATTGACAGAAGTCAAGAAGCAAGTAGAGGACTTATTACAGAAGTGGTTTGTAAGATCGAGGGTGTCACCATGGGGAGCACCAGTGCTTTTGGTGAAGAAGAAGGATAGGAGCATGAGGATGTGTGTGGATTACCGGTAGCTGAACAAAGCAACAATAAAGAACAAGTATCCGCTCCCGAGGATTGACAATTTGATGGACCAGTTGAGAGAAGCTACAGTGTTTTCTAAGATTAACCTTAGGTCGGGGTACCATCAGATCAGGGTGAAGAATGAGGATGTACCTAAGATGACGTTCAGGACGTCGTATGGCCACTATTAGTATTTGGTGTTGTCGTTTAGAGTGACCAATGCACATGCGGTGTTCATGGACTACATGAATAGGATCTTCCATGAGTTTTTGGATAAGTTTGTGGTGGTTTTCATTGACGACATCCTAATTTATTCAAAGACTCAGGAGGAGCATGCTGAGCACTTGAGGATTGTTCTGTAAATTCTGAGGGAAAGGCAATTGTATGTGAAATTCTCTAAGTGTGAGTTTTTCCTGTCAAAGATCCAGTTTGTGGGGCATGTAGTGTCGAAGGAAGGAATCATGGTGGATCCAACAAAAGTGGAAGTAGTAGCTAGATGGCAGAGGCTGAAGAATGTGACTGAAATGCACACATTTCTGGGACTAGTGGGCTATTATAAAATGTTCATTGAAGGATTTTCTAATATAGCTTTGCCCTTAACAAAGCTGACCCACAAGGAAAGGGAGTTTAAATGGATTAAAGGGTGTGAAGCTAGTTTCTGGGAGCTAAAAATAAAGTTGACTTCAGCGCTTGTGTTAGTTTTGCCCAACCCGGAGCGAAAGTTTGATGTGTATTTTGATGCATTCGGGCAAATACTTGGGTGTGTTTTGATGCAAGACGGGAGGGTGGTTGCCTATGCCTCGAGGCAGTTACGCCCGCATGAAGTCAACTACCCGACTCATGACTTGGAATTAGCTGTGGTGGTTTTTGCTCTTAAGGTATGGAGGCACTACCTATATGGAGCAAGGTTTAAAGTGTTCAGTGATCACAAAAGCTTGAGATACTTATTTGATCAGAGGGAGCTGGACATATGGTAGAGGAGATGGATGGAATTCCTCAAGGATTACGATTTCACATTATCTTACCATCCTAGTAAGGCAAATGTAGTTGTTGATGTATTGAGCAGGAAGTCATTGCACGTGGCAGCAATGATGGGAAAAGAGATAAAGCTGATTAAGGAATTTTTGAACATGAATTTGGCCATGGAGGTGAGGCCGAGGAGTTTGTATCTCAGAGTGACAATGATTCATAACGACTTCTTGGTATATGTTCGAGATGCTCAGTAGGAAGATGCCTTCCTGCAAGACATGATAAGGCTGAAGGGTGAGGGAAAGGAGTTTCACTGTGATGAGAACAGGGTAATTAAGTTTCGGAATTGAGTGTGCATTCCCTAAGTGGATGAGTTCAAGCAAATGATATTTGAGGAAGTGCATAGAAGTAGGATGAGTTTTCACCCCTGATGTGACCAAAATGTATCAGAATCTCAGGAAGAGTTTTTGGTAGAATGGGATGAAGAGGGATGTGGCCGAATATGTGGCTAGATACTTAACTTATCAGAAGACAAAGGTAGAGCACCAGCGTCCACTTGGGTTGCTGCAACCGTTAGAGATCCCTGAGTGGAAATGTGTTGTTTGCAATCTAACACTAGCAAGTGCACTAGAATTGCAGCAAGTGATGAGTAAATTTAAGATCAGAATATCGTCTCCACAGGGAATTTAGGTTTCAAGTACCACTTCACAGAATTATAACCATTTGAGCCATACGAATTTTGGAATGAGATTTGTAACATATAACAGCAGTAAACAAAAGCAATTAAAGTAAAGAACTTGCAGAAAAACAGAGTATGTAATGAAATGAGATAGGAATGAAGAATAGTTAGGAATTTACTTCACAAGAATATTAGTATTAATTCAATTATGCCTCCGAACATTCAAGAACTTGGTTAATTGACAATCAGTTTTGCATAGTAATAGCCAAAGGTTAATTCCTTAACTCATTGACCCTAACAATCCACTAAACCTCCCTAATCCCTTAAGTGAGATTCAATTTCAAGTTGCATTAAGAATTAGAACTATAAGATTGCAGAATTAGGTCTCCTTATCCCTAAGAATCCCTAAACTCTGGTTGCCAATTCAGATCGGAGCAAACAATCCAATTCCCATTGGTAAAGATTCCTCTTGATTAATCAAATGAATTTCCATTCAAAGATTGCATGAAAAGCATAATTAACAACTCAATTAATCCAAGAACTTAAAGTTCAGAAGATAAAGTCGAATCAACACATCAATTCGAGTTCCATAAACCCTAACTATGGGAAATTAAGCACACATTGCAACAAAAACAGAGAAAGAAGAAGAAGAAGATGATGAAGAATGCATAGCAGCCATGGCCACGAGCTCCAATCCGATCCCTCTTCTTGGAGCTTCAAGCTTCGACCCCAATCTTCTCTCCACTCTCTCTCAACGAGAATCTAACTAACAAAACAGAAAATGAGCAAGAGATCTCAGTTTTCGCGCTTCGATCATGTATATATAGAAACCCCAGTTCTGCGCGTTGTCACTTTTTTTCACAAGAGTAACCACGCAGAAGCTTTATGTAGTGCGCGTGTTCACTTTCAAGAGCAAGAGTAACCACGCGCAACTTGCAGAGTTGAAGGCTTCTCTGGAACATTCACTTTTATTCATAATAGTGGCAACGCAGGAGGTCAAGGGCTGCGCGTGATCACTTTCGTGAGTAATAGTAACTACGCGCAAGCTGTCCTGATACAAGTGCCTCTGGAACGCTCACTTTCGTTGGCGAAAGTGATAACGCACACTGGCAACGCTCACTCTTGTAAATAAAAGTGATTACGCACAGGCTCTTCTTCTCCTTTAGGCTCTGGAATGATCACTTTCACTAACAATAGTGATCACGCCCAGGTTGCATCCCATAATTCTTGTATTTTGGAGTCCAACATTGCCATTCTTCCTCTTCCTTTCCATTGATAATCCATTTCCATGACTTTTGCTCAGATTATTCCTTCAAAAACAAGATAAATTTCTTAAGAACTAAGCATAAATTCTACAAATGCGAGAATAACTACAAATTGAAATAAAACTTTCAATCATTCTCTTTTTCTGAGTTTTTCTGCTTTCTTCATATATTTTCCTTATTAAATGAGCTAGAATTATGCTAAAATATCAGTAAAAATATGGATTCATCAAAATGAGACAGTATTTCCATGGACTTTGTTTCTGGGTTGTCGAGGACCAGGAACAACCATGATGTCATTTGGGTGATAGCAGATCGGTTGACTAAGGCTGCACACTTTCTCCCGATCAACATGAAGTATAAGTTAGAGAGACTTGTGGATTTATATGTTAGGGAGATAGTCAGGCTGCATGGAGTGTTGACCAATGTGGTATCCAATAGAGATTTGAGGTTTACCTCGAGGTTTTGGGAGAGTCTACAGAGGGCGTTGGGAACTAAGTTGAGGCTTAGTTCGACCTATCACCCACAAACTGATGGTCAGACGGAGAGGATTATCTTATCCCTAGAGGATCTTTTGAGAGCTAGCATGATTGAGCAGTAAGGGACTTGGAAAGAATGCCTGCCATTCGTAGAGTTCACATACAATAACAGTTATCATGCTAAAATTGGGATGACACCACTTGAGGCCTTGTATGGGCAGAGGTGTAGGACTCTTTCGTGCTGGAATGAGAAAGAAGAGGCTACTCTGTGTGCACCAGATATGATTCAGAAGCAGAATGAACAGATCAAGATGATCAGGGAAAAGATGAAGGCTGCACAGGATAGGCAGAAGAGTTACTATGATAAGAGGAGGAAGCATTTGGAGTTCCAGGTGGGTGACCATGTGTTTTTTAGGGTCTTACCTGTGATTGAAGTTAGGAGAGCTCTGAAATTTCAAAAGCTATCTCCTAAGTTCATTGAGCCGTTCAAAGTACTGAGTAGAATTGGTCCTGTTGTGTACCGGATAATGTTGCCTCCGAATCTCTCAAACCTACATCCGGTGTTCCATGTGTCACAGCTTAGGAAGTATGTGCCAGATCCTTACCACGTGATTGACCTTGACCTGGTTCAAGTGAAAGAAGACTTATCCTATAATGTGTACCTGGTGAGGATTACGGATCACCGTATTAAGCAATTGAGGGGCAAGGAGATCTCATTGGTGAAGGTAATATGGAGCTCAAGTGATGAGGGAGATGCAATATGGGAAACGGAGAGTAGAATGAGAGAGTTGTATCTGGAGTTGTTTATGTAACTTGTGTGTGTTTGGTTGAATTTCGGGGACAAAATTCCTTAAAGGAAGGGAGAGTTGTAATGCCCCAAATTTTTGTAATATTGATTATTATATATATATATATATGTGTGTGTGTGTGTGTGTGTGTGTGTGTGTGAATGGATGTTGGAATGTGCACTTGAGTGCGTGATGAGTTTGATATGATAATGATGAATATTGAATAATGATAAGAATATACATGTAAATATGTGTATGTAAAATGTGATGTGGATGTTGATTGTGCATTGAGATTGATTTTTCTGGACTGTTTGAAATAGGCTAAGTATATGGTGCAGGGTGTTCTCGCTATAGCAAGAAGGACCTGGGAGAAAGGTGTGAAACTGTCGCCTTCTTGCTGTAGCGAGAGAGCAGCAATGAGGGGTGCATTTTCTGGATGCAATCTCGCTATAGCGAGATTCTGCAAAAACCAAGATGTAGTTTCCTTTGAGATTTTAGCTGCAGTGACAAGGGGCATTGCTGCAGCGATAGTGTCTCACTATAGCGAGAGTGTCGCGACTAGAGGAGTATTTGAAGGGGTTAGGGTTTCAAAAATTCATTTATCATTCCATCCTTCAAAATCTCTTTGCTTCTCTTGACTAAAAACCTTATTTCACCAATTAAATTGCCTCCTAAGCCGTTCGGGAGCCAGATCGAAGGTTGAAATTTTGTTACGAATGCTTGAAGGTAAGTTTTAATGGTTAGGGTTTCAGTTTCTCATCCTCATTCTCTATTTTCTCAGTTTCTCTTGATTCTCATGGGATTCTTTCATGTATTTAGGACAATCATGTGAGGAGCACTTCCTTGGTTGATTTCGCATGTGGGTCTTCAATCTGAGGTAAGGGGGTACTCTACCCTATCACATTGTGTTGAATGCCATGTAATTTGCTATGCATTGTCATGTGGATGGTTTAGAATGTGTGTGTTTGGTAGAATTGTGATGAATCCATATTTTTACTGATATTTTAGCATAATTCTAGCTCATTTAATAAGGAAAATATATGAAGAAAGCAGAAAAACTCAGAAAAAGAGAATGATTGAAAGTTTTAATTCAATTTGTAGTTATTTTCGCATTTGTAGAATTTATGCTTAGTTCTTAAGGAATTTATCTTGTTTTGAAGGAATAAGCTGAGCAAAAGTCATGGAAATGGATCATCAATGGAAAGGAAGAGGAAGAACGGCAATGTTGGACTCCAAAATACAAGAATTATGGGATGTAGGCTGGGCGTGATCACTATTGTTAGTGAAAGTGATCATTCCAGAGCCTAAATGAGAAGAGGAGCCTGTGCGTAATCACTTTTAGTTACAAGAGTGAGCGTTGCCAGTGTGCGTTATCACTTTCGCCAGCGAAAGTGAACGTTCCAAAGAAGACTCTATTCCTGAGGAGCTGCGCGTTGTCACTCTCGCCAGCGAAAGTGAGCGTTCCAGAGGCACTTGTATCAGGACAGCTTGCGCATGGTTACTATTACTCACGAAAGTGATCACGCGCAGCCCTTGACCTCCTGCGTTGCCACTATTCTGAATAAAAGTGAATGTTCCAGAGAAGCCTTCAACCCTGCAAGTTGCGCGTGGTTACTCTTGCTCTTGAAAGTGAACACGCGCACTACATAAAGCTTCTGCGTGGTTACTCTTGTGAAGAAAAGTGACAACACGCAGAAGTGGGGTTTCTATATATACATGATTGAAGCGCGAAAACCGGGATCGGTTGCTCATTTTCTGTTTTGTTAGTTAGAGTCTCGTTGAGAGAGAGTGGAGAGAAGACTGGGGTCGAAGCTTGAAGCTCCAAGAAGAGGGATCGGATTGGAGCTCGTGGCCATGGCTGCTTTGCATTCTTCTTCATCTTCTTCTTCTTCTTTCTCTGTTTTTGTTGCAATGTGTGCTTAATTTCCCATAGTTAGGGGTTTATGGAACTCGAATTGATTATTGATTCGACTTTATCTTCTGAACTTTAAGTTCTTGGATTAACTGAGTTGTTAATTCTGCTTTTCATGCAATCTCTGAATGGAAATTCATTTGATTAATCAAGAGGAATCTTTACCAATGGGAATTGGATTGTTTGCTCCGATCTGAATTAGCAACCAGAGTTTAGGGATTTCTTAGGAATAAGGAGACCTAATTCTGCAATCTTATAGTTCTAATTCTTAATGCAACCTGAAATTGAATCTCACCTAAGGGATTAGGGAGGTTTAGTGGATTGTTAGGGTCAATGAGTTAAGGAATTAACCTTTGGCTAGATATATGTGAAACTGATTGTCAATTATTCAATTGCTTGAATGTTCAGAGGATTTAATTGGATTGATATTGATATTCTTGTGAAGTAAATTCCTAACTATCCTTCATTGCTATTTCATTTTATCACAAATCTTATACTCTGTTTCTCTGCAAGTTCTTTGCTTTAATTGCTTTGGTTTATTGCTGTTATATGTTACAAATCTCCTTCAAAAATTCGTATGGCTCAAATGGTTATAATTCTGTGAAGTGGTACTTGAAACCTAAATTCCCTGTGGAGACGATATTCTGATCTTAAATTTACTCATCACTTGCTGCAATCCTAGTGCACTTGCTAGTGTTAGATTGCAAACAACAAGTTTTTGGCGCCGTTGCCGGGGAAATTAGAGTTTCAATATCATTAGTAACATAAGAATAGCTAGATTGAGTATTTTGTTCTCTGAATTTCTATAGTAGTAGTCTGTAGTTAGACATTTTGTCCATTCTGCATAATTCTGCAACTTTTTAACTTGTGTTTCAATTACTTTTACTGATAATTACTGCATAATTTTCGTGGTGCAGTTCTGAATACTAACTTGTAGTTTACTTTTGCTTCATTTTGAATTGTATATGCGTGGCAAAAATAAAAACAAATCAACTCTAGTTTTGATCCTGACATAGACATAACCTTAAGAAGATTGAGAAAAGAGTCTAGAGCAGAAAAAGCCATAGGGAGTGATAGTGAGTTAGAAGCTGTCCATTCTCCAGAATCTCAGAGTAATCCTAGAGTGAAAAGAACACCTACATCTTTGAGACAACTAAATTCAGAAATAGAGATGGCAGAACAGAACAGATTTAGAACATTAGGGGACTATGCTATTCCTAACATGCAAGGTTTTAACTCTTCTATAATCAGGCCAACTATTCAAGCCAACCATTTTGAGATTAAACCTACTTTATTACACTTAGTCCAATAAGATCAGTTTTCTGGTGGAAATTCTGATGATCCTAACTTACATATTTCAAATTTTCTACAGCTATGTGACACCATAAGAATAAATGGGGTTAGTGAAGAAGCCATCAGACTGAGACTATTTCCTTTTTCCTTGAGAGATAGAGCAAAATGCTGGTTACAAGCTCAACAACAAGGAAGCATCACAACCTGGACAGAACTTGTGAATAAGTTTTTAACCAAGTACTTCCCTCCATCCAAAGCTGCTAAGTTGAGAGGAGAAATTACATCCTTTGTGCAGCAAGAAGGAGAATCATTATATGAAGCTTGGGAAAGATACAAAGAACTGCTTAGAAGGTGTCCACATCATTGTATTCCAGATTGGATGCAATTGGAAACTTTTTATAATGGGATGAATGCAGTAACAAGAACAATGGTTGATGCTGCTGCTGGAGGTTCATTAAATACAAAGTCCTTGGAAGAAGCTCAAAGGATTATTGACATGATGGCATCTTCAATGTATCAGAATTCAAACTCAAGGAATCAAGGAAGAAACTTTGGTCATGAAGCTAAAGTTCTGGAAACTTTTCTTGCACAAAATCAGCTACAAAATCAAATGTTTTCAGAACAATTAGCTGCCTTAACACAACAAATCAACAATCTGCAAACAGGAAGTATGCCTACCAGTCAGCTAAGTTGTGATTTTTGTGGAGGAAACCATGCAAATGGTGCATGTGAGGCATCCACAAGTGAACCACAAGAACAAGTGAATTATATGAATAATTTTCAGAGACAACAACCATCATATCCCCCTGGATTTCAATTTTCGAATAATAGAACTCAGCAGTATTCTAATTGGAATAATCAATATTCTGCTGCAAAGAATTCTAATTCAAATTTGCCTTTTTCTAATGCAGGTCCAACAATACAACAGCCTTATTTTCAGAGGAATTCATCCACTCAACCTCAAGGAAATCAGAAATTTTCCAGACCTATGAATGAGAGGTTGACTGAGATGGAAGAAACTATGCTGCAATTCATGAAGGTAACTCAAACAAGCTTCAAAAACCAAGAAGCTTCCATGAAGAAACTAGAGACACAGATTGGACAATTAGCTGAACAATTATCCAACAGGGATGAAGGAAGATTTCCAAGCAATACAGTAATCAATCCTAAAGAGCAATGTCAAGCCATAACTACAAGGAGTGGAGCTGTAGTTGCAAGCCCTAAACCAGCAGAAAAGAAAGTGAATGATGCAGTAGAAAGAAATACTGAACAAGATCTGCAACAAGGAAATTTTAAGCTATTGAAGAAAGACCATTCAGAAGAAAAAGAAAAAGTTCCCATGAATTCTGAAAGGAAAATCAAAAAGCAACTCTTTGAAGGAGCTTGTAAGCCAATAGACCCAGAAAAATACAAGAGGCTGCCTTATCCTCAAAGAGTCCAAAATCCTAAACAAGAGGAACAATTTGAAAGGTTTATGAATGTCTTTAAGAAATTACAAATTAACATTCCTTTTGCAGAAGCTTTGGAGCAAATGCCTTCATATGCAAAGTTCATGAAAGAACTACTTTCCAGAAAAAGGAAGCTAGAGCATGACAAAACAGTACCTTTGACAGAGGAGTGCAGTGCCATTCTCAAGAGAAAGCTTCCTCAAAAGTTGAAAGATCCTGGATCATTTAGCATTCCTTGTGAAATAGGAAACTGCACTGTGGGAAGAGCATTGTGTGACTTGGGAGCAAGCATAAATCTGATGCCATTAGCTGTTCTGCAGAAACTTGGAATAGAGGAAGTGAAGCCTACCAACATTACACTGCAGCTAGCT